TTGTGTCCTATTGAGTTTCATATTTTCATTTAATTCAAATAGATTGAGATCATTTTTTTTACAATATGCCCAATTTTCTTTAGTCTACCCCTGCCTTTCTTAACACAATTCAAATCTAAAATATCTACTCTCCTAACCGGATCATTAGAAGGCCAACTTTTAATGTGACCAAACCATCAAGAGGACTCTCTTTAATGTTGTCTATCACTAGAGCTACACCAACCTTTCATGGATAGATTCATTTCACATTTTATCTCTAAGAGTCAAGCCACTCATCCACCTAAGCATTCTCATCTCATCAACACTTAAACTTTGTTTTATGTTTCTCTTTTAAAGGCCAACATTCTGTGCCATAAAGAATTGCAGTTCTCACCATCTTATAAGATTTTTATTATAGTCTAAGCGATAAATTTCTATCATACAGTAGGCCCGATGCTTTCCTTCACTTCAACGTACCAACTTGAATTCTACTAATAACATCCCCGTCAATATTACCATTACCATCATTTTGAACAATAGACTCGAGATATTTAAAACTTTCACACCTTTTAATGATTTGATCGCTCATAGTTACAATTTTGCTACTAGAGCTACTACTACTAAGATTACTTTCCATGTATTCAGTTTTAGGTCTACCCAAACGAAGGCCTTTAGACTCTTCTGTAGATTTCCATAATTCAAGTTTTTCTCGAACTTTATCTCTAGTTTTATCCACGGGAAGGATATCTTCAGCGAAAATCATCAACACTGAGGTACATCCTCATATAAATGCTCAGTAAGAGCATCCATAACTAAAGCAAAAATATATGGGCTTAAATTCAATCCTTGATGTAATCCAACTGAAGTAGAAAAACACTTGGTCAATCCTCCTATTCGAACTCTATCTCAAGTCTTATCCACGGGAAGGATATCATCAACGAAAATCATATACACCGAGGTACATCCTCATATAAATGCCCAATATGAGCATCCATAACTAAAGCAAAAATATTTGGGCTTAAAGTCGATCCCTGATGTAATCCAACTGAAGTAGGAAAACACTTGGTCAATCCTCCTTCTATTCGAACACATAATAGCTTTTGTATACATATCTTTAATGATTTGAATATTAAGTCATTTCATTACCTTTCATCTCTAGAATTCTCCAAAGGTCTTCTCTGGGAACATTACCGTAAGCTTTTTCAGAATCAATAAAAATCACATGTAGATCCTCCTTACTCTCATTATACTTCTCCATCAAACCTCTTAATTAATGTATAGCCTCCATGACAGACTTGCTTGGTATAATCCAAATCGATTATGAGAAATTTTTGTATCACGTCTTAAACTATGTTAAATTACCCTCTCCCATAATTTTAAAGTACGACGCATTAACTTGATTCCTCTATAATTTGCACACTGTTGTGCATCCCCTTTATTCTTAAAAATGAGAACCAAAATAATCTTCCTCCACTCGAGCATTTTTTTTTTAAATAATTTTAAAGTGTTTAGCAAGCCAAGAAATTTCCAAATCGGCCAAATATTTCCACACTTCAATTGGGATATCATCAGGTCTTACATATTTTGCACTATTGGTTTTCCTTAAAAGCTCCTTAATTTTTTTTACTAATACGAAGGTAAAGATAAAACATTTTATTTTTATTAATGATATTAATATCACTAATGTCGATCGTATTTTCAAAAAAATTCATTGAAAATTTTATCAAAATAGCTCACCCACCTGTATTGAATATTTTATTCTAAGAAAAGCATATTTTGATTTTCATCTTTAATAAGCTTTACTTGAATTAAATCTTTACTTTTTCCTCTTTGTTTAGCTAGTTTATACATATATTTTTCATCTTTAATATCTAATATATTATAAAGATCACTAAAACAAAATTCTTAGCGTCACAAATTATTCTCTTAGATTCCCTACGATTCACCTTATATTTTTTCCAGTTTTCTAAGCTTTTATATTTAAACCAATTTTTATAACACAACTTCTTATATTTTATTTTTTTTTGCACATTATTATTGCACCACCAACTATTTTTATCTATAATATTTAAACCAATGGTGCTTGTTACCTTATCCCACGTAAAATTAAACTTTTTCGAACATCCCAAATCTTGAAATCATGAAGTTTACTCATAAAAATTATTTTTTTTATCTTTTAGGTGTTCTTTCTAATTCAATAATAATATTTCATTATATTATTTATCTTATAACTCGTCCTCCTAAAATCCAGAACTAGTAATCGATATTGAGTACTTAAATTTTCACTTGCAATGATTCTACAATCTTTATATTCTCGACGATCTAATTTTCTTATAAGAAAATAATCAATTTGTGTTTTATTGGATCCATTCTTATAAGTAATAATATGCTCATTTTTTTTTAAATACAGTATTATTAATAACAAAATCATGTGCTAAAGCAAAATCTAATATGGTTCTACCTTTGTCATTATCACTCCAAAGCACCATGAATATTTTTAAAATATTTTACCACTCTGCCAACGTATCCATTTAAATCTCGTTCAATAAAAATTCTTTCTTCAAAAAGTATCCTTTGTATTAATTCTTTCTAGGTCATTCCAAAATTTCCTTTTGAACATGTATCTCAATCTACTTGAGGAGCATAAACACGCATAATATTAAAAATCTTAGTATCAATAACAATCTTTAGGACTATAATTCTATTAATTTTTACAAGATGATCTTTCAAACTCTTATCTATAATTACACTTACACCATTTCTAGTGTGACTCTTACTTAAATACCAAAATTTAAAATCTAAGCTATCAATCTACTTAGCTTTTTCTCCAACCTATTTAGTTTTTTGAATGTTCAAGATATTTATCTTCGTATGAACCATAATATCTATAAATTCCATTAATTTACCTTTGATAATACTTTTGTTTCAAGATTCTATCATAACATTAGTTTTATGAATTAACTTCTCTGCCCCCATTCATCTATTAATATGGGAACCCTTGTTTATTTGACACTACACCTAAACGTCGGTTTATCGGCCCTTGCACACTTATTATCGTATTATGGTCATACAACACATCAATTACAACACACTTATTTACACAATGATTTAAATGATTCATTTCATGATTGTTTAGCAAAAAATTTACATTAGCCCTCGACTACCTAATGCAACCCTTCACTTTTCGTATTCGGGGCTTGGGACCCAACAATAACAATGTTGAATTATATCATAGGCTATTGATTTAAAATATTAAAAAATACATAAGATTAATGGTTGAAAGGATCGTCGACAAAAGTTTTAAATTAATTTTATAGGTGCAAATTTTTTTTATATATTTAGGTGGATTTAATAGCAAGTGTATATACATGAAATATGTAAGATTTTAAAGTGAGAACATCTTGATATGTAAATACATAGGAGTTGAATATGTATGCCACAAAAAAAAAAGAATTAATTGCCTCGAAAGCATTCAATCACGAACTATACATTTGAGACCAAGCCATTGGGTGAGTCAAGCCTATTCGGGCTTTGACTAAGTCAAAGCCGGCATGGTCCTGGCCGAGCCCGCTGAATTTGTATTTTTTTTTATAGCGAAGCCCGTCCATTCTAAGCGGGGGCTTATGGTGAGCCTGTTGGACCACCTGCTTAACGCACAGGTCCTTAAATGGCTGATAGAGTTCCTTTCCTTGAGTTATAAATTTTATTTTTATCATCTATTTTTTGTATCCATTCTATTATAATTTATAAGACTTTATATTTAAATATTAATACGCATGTATACATGTATTTGTACATGCATAATATTAATGCGTGATAGAAATGAGTGTGTCAACTTCTTTGTTGGAGAACTAGACATAATTTTTAGAAGTTTCTTTTTCATCTCACTTTTAATAGTGAAATGTGTCGCATTCACTCATTGTCAGCAATTAAGTTATTTTTAAGCCTATCACAACCTAATTCGATCAAAATTTAGGAGTTAGAACATATAAGTTGTGCGCTAATGCATTAAATTCATACTGTTATTTTAAAATGTATGCATTGAATAAGTAACAAATCATATTTGTATTGTTTTTCATCTAGCAAGACTAAGTCGTAGCTTTGCAAGACTTATAGATGTGCTTTACTTTTTTTTTTCTTGTAAGCTCCTTTTTCGTCTAAACATTGATCTGCCAGTACTAACTAGCAACCATTTACAATGATAACGTGCGCTCAATTTTCTATTATTATTATTATTTTCTTGAATTTTTGCTGTAATATATTTTCATTTATTGCACTCTTCCTTCCATCTCATGTCCATACAGAATGGTTAAAGATAGAAAAGAAAAAAAAATTATTGAATTTTTATCCACTTACTATGTTGATAAAGAACAAAAAGAAAAAAATTTAATGAAGATTTATCCACTTACTATGTTGATAAAGAGCAATCTATCAACTATATAAGAAATTTTAGTAGAGATAAGGTGGTATAATTGCTTGGCCACGTTTTTAGTGCTAGGATATGGTTCAATTGTTCTATTTTTTGCATGCTAAATCTCATGTAAAAATAGTGATTCAGCTTATTTTAAGCCTATATTATGGTGAGATACTCTTTTGTTTTGTTGGGGAATCAACAATAGTATAAATATAGCACTTGAGCGTTTTTTTTCCCTTTCTTTGAGGGGTGAAGGGGATATTTGTGGAAAGAATAAAATAGGCAACTTTTTTTGTTTTTCCTACATCAGAAATGCAGAGACACTCATGGGGCTGATAATTTCAATTTTACTCTCAAATCTTATATTAAGGGTTAATTGAGAGTATGCCCACCGTGTTGATGATGCAGTATATAGCAATTTGTGCACCACAAACACCCCGGTTCATGTTTCTTCAATTTTTTGCATCTCTTTTGTAAATACTTGTTTTGAAAGCACCAAACTCGTATAACCTGGTTCACAAATCACATCATGTTAGTGATGAACTGAGATTAATGTGCACCATAACTTCAACATTGATCAACCACAGTTAATATCTTCTATTCTCAGTTCAATCTCACAGCAGATGCCTCAAGGGACCTCATAATAACTCTAACTACTGGAGAAGGGGACTGTGTTCTTACAACCAAGACATCCATCTCTGATGGGTTCCATTTCCAGCAGTTCCCAGCTTATGCCACGCAGTTGAGACCCATGCATGGCGCCTACTTCTTGTTCGCTACCTTCATCATCATCTGTGGAACTTGGGCCTGCTGCAAGTTTGGAAGAACGGAAAAGCGAGTCGATGCCGGAATACCCTATCAGCAGCTTGAGATGGCTATGCACACACAACCCTCATCTGTGACCGCCAATGAAGTCCCAGCGGACGGCTGGGATCAGAGCTGGGATGATGATTGGGATGATGAGGAGGCTGTTATTAGAACTGCAGATAAAAAAGTTACTGAAAGTGTTCCATCTAATGGTCTCTCTTCCAGATCTGCAACTCCTGCTAAAGATGGCTGGGAAATTGATTGGGATGATTAGTCTTTTACCTCAATGATGGATTGAAGCATTAGTTGATGAGTTTGAATTGTTGCAGAGGACAAGGGACGGAAGCTTGTATTGTTAGGCTGTTTAGAATGGCTTTTTTCTTTAGAGAAAATGATTATTATTTTTTTAATTTTAGTAGTTTCTTGTATTTTTCTTTGTCAGAGGGCTCTGATGATGTATGATGAAGGGTGATTATCAAATTTAAGGTCCTGAGATGTTGTAAATGGTGAAAGAGGATCCGTCTGGGGCTGTGCTAAGAAAGAAGTCGGCGTGATAATTCATGATGGTTCTTTCAATCAGTAAAGAGAGAATCACAATGTATTTTATGCTTCCAGATTAATAATTTAGAATAATTAAATCTTCATTAAATTAGCATTTTGTCAAATTAAAGTGTAGTTTGTTAAACAATCAAAGTGTTCACGTAACCCATCCTTATTACGCATTGATTTTATCAGACTTTGTTTTATTTGGTTCGTGTATAAAAGCATCTAAAAAGGGACAGCTTGATCGAGTCTATTTGTAGTAGGATCACTTTTGTAATCCTTTCAGATATAAAGTTGGACACTTCAAACCTATTAAAGCATTAGGAAAAAATTAAGTCAAGATTTTATGGCTTAAATTATGTTTAAAACTTTACTGTTAATTTTTCCATGGTATTTGTTCTGTTTATTATATAGCTTTGATGAAAGACCTTACAAGATGGCTGGCATCACAATAAACAAAAATGAGATTATTAAGGGCCCGTTTGGGGCAGCTTCTAAGTGCGGGGGCGTTTTTGAAAACTCTGCGGCCGTTTGTATCACGCGTTTTGCCCGCTTATCTGAATACGCGGTTCCTTTTTTACACTAAATGCAGACCGCGAGTCGAAACTAGCGGTCGACCAGTGGGCCGCGTTTCAAGATAAATTGCTTATCATGAAACGCAAAAACTACCCCAAACGCACCATAACTTTGAGGCAATTTAGGATCATTATTATTTTTTTATTTTGTTTTATTTATGTTTTGATTTGAAACAAAATATATTTAATATGTATGATATAATTATCTTTGAAAACACTCAATACATCTAAAAATTATTTTGAGTGTTTTCAAAAGTATGATCGCTTATTTTAAGAAATCAAAAAATAAAATTATATTAAAACATATTAAACAAATATGCTTTAAAAAATAAAGGAGAAAAAAATAAAAAATCAAAAACAAAATTGATCCCAAACAGAGGCTTAAGATTTGGGATGATTTTATCATTCCATCTGCAATAGCCCCCAAGTCGATATTGGCTATGTCTAAATCAAAGGTGAGAAACACAGCAGGAAAACCACCATGGCCATACATTCAAGAAAACAAAAAATTGTTTGGGAGAGCAAGCACTTTTAAGAAATTAAAAGCTTTAAGAGTCTATTTGGGGCAACTTGTGCGTTTCAGGATAAGCAGCTTATTCTGAAACGCGGGTCGATCGCGAGGGTCAATCAACGGCCTACGTTTAGTGCAAAAAACTCAAACGCAATAGGCAGCGTTTTTAAAAACACGTAAGCCAAACGGTTAGCACTTATAAGCTTGCCCCAGACGGGCCCTAAATCAATGAAGATGCATAATGAATGGGATCCACAATGGAATAGAAAGCGTGCTGAAGGCTAAGATGAATTTAGGAAATCGATACAATAGTAGCAGCCCATAAACATACTCCACATGATGCAACCTAAGAAAGAGTTAGAAGCCCCCAAATTTCTCACACATCATCACTACCAATAAAATATGTACTATATGTGGACGGTACACGTCCTTCCACTCTTTCATCCAACTGATGGCAGGAAGTGAAGCAAAGCCACTTATTATCAATAAGCATTCAAAAAACCCAAGACTGATGGATGTTTGGGATCACTTTTGATTTTGGTTTTTTTATTTTTTATTTTATTTTATTTTATTTATGATTTTACTTGAAATAAAATAAATTTGTTATGTTTTAACATGTTCAATTATTTTTAAAAACACAAACAACATTGTGAAATTTACATATATATAGCACCCAATTCTTATGTCTTTCCCAACCATGGATTGAAATCAGCTCGAAATAAAATACGTCTTTTAGTTTGGCTCATAGCACGGCTCAATTAGTTCGAGCCTATTTCGATTCAAACTAAAATTCAATTCAATTTTCGAGCAATTTACGAACTGGAAACCATTTTCACAGCCCTGTGCAGAAAGCCCTAAAAAGCCTATATAGATATCTCAAATATCGTTGTATAGAGAGCTTTCTATAATTCTAACTGCCACTTATGAGTTATGACCACTAAAGCAGGAGAGAACTCCTAACAAGAACCCTAATAACATGCTCTAGTGCTACGTTTACTCTTCTCCTATTTTTCGCTTACTCGCAAGCTCTCTTATTGATCCATACCTATCAAAATATCTCAAAAGTAAAGAAAAACATGAAATTCACAAACATTAATGCTTCCAATCTCAGCACTTAATACAAAGATAAGAATGTTACCATTTTCAGTCCTATCTCAATAGAAATAATATAAATATTCATAACACAATGACAGCAATTCTGGAATGTAGCAAGATGGCAATTCAAGCAATACGAAAACTGAGAGCGGAGAAGACGCGGAGGCACCTGAATCACAAGCGCCAACAATTGTGCACGTCAAAACAATAAATAACAATAAAAACATCAAGCACATCCCTTAAAGCAAACAATCTCTGAAGATAACATGTGCAAAAACCATAGCAGAATTGATGCAACTAACTTGAAAGAACCTTTAAAAGCATTTTCGGTGGACGATTGAAGGACCAGATTCATCATACTCTGCCTTCGAAATCCACATCTGCAAATCAAGAGTTTTTTTTTAAGAAAACTGAGCAAATGTGACGATGATAGGTATGATAGAAAAGCATGGATATTGGTATCAGTTACAGAAAAAGACTTGTGTTTCATAATATGTAACCTGTTGGAAGGTGCTGAGAGAGAGAAGCAAGGATGGGAGCCTCCAATCCAAACACTATATTTCCTCTCAGGTGGGGCAACCACTTTGATCTTCATGCTGCTTGGAGCAAGAGCCGTGATCTCCTTGCTCATGCGATCAGCAATGCCAGGGAACATAGTCGAGCCACCGCTAAGCACAATGTTGCCATACAAATCTTTCCTAATATCAACATCACATTTCATGATGGAGTTATAAGTGGTCTCATGAATGCCTGCAACTTCCATGCCAATCATGGATGGTTGGAAAAGGACCTCTGGGCACCTGAAACGCTCAGCCCCTATTGTGATTACTTGGCCATCAGGCAATTCATAAGTCTTTTCCACAGCAGAGCTACTCTTTGCTGTCTCCAGCTCCTGTTCATAATCTAGGGCAACATAAGCAAGCTTCTCTTTCACGTCCCTGACAATTTCCCTTTCTGCAGTTGTGGTGAAGGAGTAGCCTCTCTCAGTAAGGATCTTCATCAGGGCATCAGTAAGATCACGGCCGGCAAGATCTAGCCGAAGAATAGCATGAGGAAGGGCATATCCTTCATAGATTGGGACAGTGTGGCTCACACCATCACCAGAATCAAGCACTATACCTGCTCATTATGAGATACCAATTAAAATGAATCAAAGAGAGTGATAAAATGAACAAACAGGGGAGTAATCCAAGAAAATATCCAGACCTGTGGTACGACCACTAGCATAAAGAGACAGAACGGCTTGGATAGCGACATACATGGCAGGCACATTAAAAGTTTCAAACATTATTTGGGTCATCTTCTCTCTGTTTGCTTTGGGATTTAGAGGGGCTTCAGTTAGGAGTACCGGGTGTTCCTCTGGTGCGACACGGAGCTCATTATAGAAGGTGTGATGCCAGATTTTTTCCATGTCATCCCAGTTGCTGACAATGCCATGCTCAATAGGGTATTTCAGAGTGAGAATACCTCGTTTGGATTGGGCTTCATCCCCAACATATGCATCCTTTTGGCCCATCCCAACCATAACACCTGTGTGTCGTGGCCTGCCAACAATGCTAGGGAATACTGCCCTTGGTGCATCATCACCAGCAAATCCAGCCTATAAAATAGAAGGAATAAAAACCATTATATTGCTACTTAGGCTGAAGAATAAACTCTAATGTAACACTTGGATGATATGGGCATCCTAACCTTGACCATTCCAGTTCCATTGTCACAAACAAGAGGTTGGATTTCCTCAGCATCAGCCATTTTCTCTCAAATCTACATAGGGGAAACTAAATATTTTACTTAATTTTATAAGGTAAAAATTCAATCTTACATTCCACAATCAACCATTTAAAATAAATTTGCAATTGAGCTACACTGCATATGTATAAAAACTGTTGATGGCGGCTACACATCCTAAATGTATTGATTATGAGATGCACACAAATAATTCACCATGAGAACGTAAATTCTCCATCATTGAAAACACAAGTAAATCAACAATACACAAAAATGTTTCTTTGAAAGCTATAAATCTCTCAGTGGAATTTCTTTTCCCAGTTCAATTTTATTCATGAACAAGCAAAAATGAATTGAACGCACAGAGAAGTCATGAATACCAGCATCATTAAGTACTGCTAGCGATCCAGGGCTCATTTAAACATTGACAGCCATTTGAATAAGTCGAATTCCATATTGACATAATAGAGTTTTCTCGTCAGTTTGATACATGCAAATTAAATTCAAATATAAACAATTGCATAAAAAAAAATATGGGATTTAAGATAGTTGGCAATTAATCTTAACTACTACTACTAAAAAGGCACTTGATAATTCACAGAAAAGAAATAGTAAACATTCACTTGTAGTGAATACCCATCCTTCATTTTCAAGTAATAATAATAATTTTAATCCATCTATTTTTTATTGGTGGACACGATTCATATGATAAAATGAATCCAAATTTTAATTTTGCTAGTGTTAGTGTAGGGCTGTCAAAAAAACTCGTTGTTCGCGAACAGTTCGTGTTCGGTTCGTCAATGAGTTCGTGTTTGATTCGTTCGATAAGTAAACGAGACAAACGCGAATAAATTTTTTTCGTTCGGTTAGTTAAACGAACCAAACACGAACAGTGATGCGTTCGTTCGTGTTCGAATCGTTATTGTTTGAAATATAAAATAATATAAAATAATTATATATAAAAAATTTATTATATTTTAAAACATTAAATTTTATAAATTATAATATATAATAAAATAATAATAATAATATATTAATATACTATAGTAGTAATATACTAATATAGATATTGTATATTTATATAATATAAGTTATATAATTAATATATAATATTATTTTTATATATT